TGTGTGTGTATGTGTGTGTGTATGTGTGGTGTGTGTGTGTGTGTGTGTGTGTGTGTGGTGTGTGTGTGTGTTGTTGATGTGTGTGTTGTGTGTGTGTGTGTGTGTGTGTGTGTGTGGTGTTGTTGTGTGATTAGTGTTGATGTGTGGTAGATGAGAAGATGAGAGAGTAGAAAAGTTAAGTAATTATATTTATAAGTTAGTATAATTATATATCTTATCTATAATATATACCTCATACTGGTTATATCCTTTTTAATCTATATAATAAATAAAAAATCAGATTATATAAATCAGATATAATAATAAGTGGTCGGTTGTTAAGTGGTGTGATAGGTTTCGTGTCGAGGTGATGTGAGCACACAAATGTGTGTGTAAGTCGTAGATGGTTGTTAAGTTCTCAGTCGTTTGTGGTGATGTAGTGTGATTTGCATAAAAAATCATATACTTATATATAGTACTATTGCCGTAAGTATTATTATACATAAGGTTAGATATCCGTAGTTATTCCACGGATGTTATCAATTATTATTGTAAATTTTATCTATCATAATGTATTCACATACTATTAATATATCAGCACATATATATTTATATGTATATATGATACTCGGAGTTAAACATTTAATAGTGGATGGAGGTGAGAACTGGCACCGGCGTTATTCGGGAGGTATTTCAAGGAGATATGATAAATGGACTATTATCTGGAAGGATATTAGGGAAATTTTTACTAATAAAGATCTATAATGGGGTAAATAATTCTCATTTTTCAATATAGTTAGGTACGTATATGAATTGGACCAGGGCTTAGAATAAAAAATTTGGTAACTTAGATATGAGAATGCTGAGACAGACGTCCCTATTGCAATGACCACAACCAACGTAGAAAAATGGCGAAGAATAGGTTCGATTCCATATGTTATATACAATTTCTATTGATGGCACAGTTTCGCTCCTACGTGTGTGTGGGTTTGGGAAGTTGTGTACGTGTGTTAGCCACAAGTTTTTTGTTAGTAGTGAGCTATTTGTTTAAGTTCTAGTCAAAGTTATTATTATGTATGATGTTGGTGGGTTGATGTGATATTGATCCGGTGATTGGGTTGGTAGGGTCGGTGTCTTTAACAACTGTGATGGTACTGGCCTTAATGAATATAGCTTTACAAGTTCGAACATACAAGGAATAGAAAGTCTTATTAAGGTGTTCCTAATGAAATGAAAAAAAAGAATAATAAAAAAAAGATGAAAATAAAAAATATGATTGTAGTGTAGTATGTGTGTTGTGTGTTGATATTGTAGTGTATGTGTGTGAATGTGTGCATGTGTGTGTGTGGTATGTATTAGCATGTGTGGTTGTAATATATATATATATATATTATACATAACTTATATATATAATATATTAATATGATATTAAATATATGTAATATATATATAAATATAATTATATATTATATATATTTTAAATATAATCATATTATGAATTTGGAACTTGGGCGGGCCTATCAAACCATATATATATATGCAAAATACAATTCACATATATACAGTAATATATATATATATATTATATATATATATAATCAAAATGATGTAGCTTTGAAAATTAATTTGTAAAAAGTGGTAAAAAAATATATATTTTTGATAATAAAATATACATTATAACAAATAGTATAGTGTTACGTGAGTCGCTGAGTAGTTGCTAGAGTAAAGTGATGGTGCTGCTTTGTCGTAAGTTCAAGGGAGTAGAATAGATAAGATGTATTGTGTAAGTTTGTGTCGATAGAGACAATGTAGATAAAGTTAGCATGCTATATCTACTATTATATATATATAACTCAATACATAGGGGTGTATTACATAGTTACGGGTAAACTTAGATTGGTAAATATTTGGTATATATCAGTTAGTGCATTTAAATATTAATATAACTGACAATTTCTTATATATTCACATAATGATTATTATTATCACTATTCAATTCTTTTGAGCTTAGTTACTACACAGACACACGACAATTATCAACTTAATGCTATCACGCGACTAACTTGACACACACACACTACAATTACACACACCAAATCCACACACACACAACACACACAACCCACACAACACACTGCGAACACACACATCATCCCACACACACAACCACACATCACAGTCACTATCATCAGTCACACACACACATACTAACTATCATATATAATACTCATAATGACATATGTTTATCATATACCATATTATACCTATATATAACAGTACTAGTACACATATGACAATATAATATTATTACCCTCATACTATAATAGGACTAGTCATAAGTTTATATATTACCTAAATAAAATTACACCTATAGTATATATCTATCGCATACTATTTACAACAGTACACCCCACGCGACACATACACAACAAACGAGACGACAAACAGCACACACGAGCATCCGAGACATCACACTACATACACTCACAACATGGATACATCTATCTCACGCTCTATCAGACCGGAATTCTTACTATACGTTACAACGAAGTGGAAAACACATGTGTGGGAAAATCTCTGTTGGTATATGACATACAGGGGACAATTAACTGTTTAAGATTAAATGAGTCCTACTCTGCCACACTAGTTATATACTTTTATTTTTAATTATATATTTCACTATATCTCATTAAGCGTGAGAGTATCTATATATTATCTTATGTGAGTAATGTTATATAATATTATTACTTATCTATTAAAAATCACATAATTATAGAGTAAATTGAGTTTACACTTCCATTCACCCTATCCATGACTTAATGCATTACTTAATCATTATGCACTCTAATATTCTATCTATATTACTTCAACTACCTACTATTTATCTATGTATGATATATAAGACATATATATTAGTGATATATATATATATATATTAGTAATATATGGTAGAGTGGAGAGTATGATATATTTATTATATTATTGTATTATATTATATCACCATATATAAATAGGCGGAGCTGCACACATAGTTAAGATAGTTATAGGTATAATAACATTTTTTATTTATTCATCCTAGTACCACGACCATACATATATATATCTACTAAGAACATGCATCTAACCTATTTAATTTTAGGTAGGTATCAGGATACTATAATTTATAGCTTCTCTAAAAGCTAAGAAAAATATATATTAAGTATGGTGTGGTATATATACGTTAAGCGTAGTACTTAATTGCATATAGTTATGACTATTCTATCAGATAACTCATGTGATAACGTTATTATATCAATTATAATTACTTTGCATATGAGATTGAATAAATACTCACTCACTCACGATACGAAAATAAGTATTATTTAAGCGTATATATACCCTATAATAAAGAGAGTATGTATATACTCATTTATATTATATATTAGAGTAGATTATGAGATATCTTTAAGCACCCTGATTGGTCATATAAGATTTTGGTTGGGACTCGGATATCATGCTTAATCTTCTGTGTTTCGGGGAGTAAGTTGAAAGTCGTATATCCTTACGATGGTTTGGTATATAAAAGGAAATTGTTGTTGTATGATACTTTTGAAGGTTTGGAATGCTGGGACGAATGTTGGTTTATAAGTATACTCGATGATAATATCGTGATGCGAATGTTAGTGAATTAAATTGTTGTTGGGTGGATGTGTTGTTTGGTATATACTGACTCATTAGCCTCTTCAGATTGGTAATTTACATTTGATTTGTTGGGTAAGTGGGCCGTTTTGCACGTGTCCCGCTATGCAACTCGCGATAGAGTGAAGCGAGAGAGAGATAAGGAAGTAGAGTACGAAGGTTTAAGGGAGTCACGTAAGATGAGGAAGAGAAGAGAAGATGGAGATAGAGGTTAGTAGATTGAAGTAGTTTAGAAAGAGAGGTGTGATTGAGATAGAGTAAAGATAGTAGAATGAGAGTATTCCATAAAATTAATTTAGTTAATTTAAATACCCTGATACTCTATTATTTAAATGGAAGGTATTATAAATTTTATTTTTATAAATTTTCAAAAACATTACATTATTTATCATCAAAATAGTTTATGTTTCAAACAACCTTTGCAAGCAACATAAATTGCCTCTACGCGAAATTGGAGAAATAAACAAAGCCAAAACAATATGAAAATTAAAAACAGCACCCACAGGGTAGGCTAATTGTAATAAAGTATACCTGGGGTTTCCGGCGGGTTCAATGTTTTTATCATTTATTGCAAAAACAGCCTGTCCTAGGAACACTTTGGGACACTTCCATAAATTAACATATATACGAAAATTAGTTTCTAAACACACAGCGGGGCCAATCAACAACCAAAGATGCCTGTTTAGTTCACTTTTGTGGCTCTTTCCTCCGCAGAATTATCTTTATGGCCAGGCCTCGTGTATAATCTTCCTTTATCCTTTTCAATATTGGTCGCGTTCAACGTCTACTTAGATCATTGATTAAAATCAGATGGGAGATTGAGGATTTGGTCAAAGTTAAGGTTTAGAGAGGTACGATTTAAAGTAATAAGAGTGTTTTTTAACAAGCACCATAGACCCGACCTAAGAACCCACAAAAACAAGCTAGTGTTTAGGGTGGAACCATAATAATCCTAAAAATTACTAAAATGAATTAATCTCACTTCATCTGGATCTGTGGTTCCTGTTTTTCTTTTATCTATTACTATCATAAGACTTTGTCTCTAAGTATTTATTATATACTCTTATTAATACTCACAATAATTAGGCTCCATCCTCCAACTATATGCTCTCTGCTTATAATACATTATCTTCATATTTTTGAACTGAAGATAGATTATCGAACTTTAGGCTTTATTAAGGCTTAAACAGTGTTCAACCTTTATCGCCTGATCTTACGATTAAATTATCCTAATAGTTTATGTTATTGTGGTTATTCTAATTTGTCCTGTATTAAAAACCGACCCACAGGAATGACCTCCGAAAAGGCCACACCGTGGGCCGTGGAAGCCCAAGTCCGCTCACCAGGCGCAGCAGGCAGAAGGGACTCGGGCGCTGGCGACCCACCCGACGAGGCCGGTGAGGAAGAACAGGAACCCGACGCCCAGGACGCTGTACGTGAAGATCTGAAACACACGGCACATCAGCACAGTGGGAAGGAGGTCTGCTTCTCACACTAACGAATGTAATTTTATGGGTCTTTGCTATATCCCATTATAGCTAATAGCAAAGCATTAGCATTTTTGTTATATCACTTTCAATATCAGTGTCATATTTTACAATACTGGATATCGCTGCAGTGACTTCTTAGCTCAGTCCCTGGTACTGACCATGAGAGAGATCACTGAGAGAATTGATTTTTTTTGTCATTATTAACCACTAATCTCAAAACCCTGTATGACTCGTGGGGCAATGAAGTATACTGGCGCATTTTTGACGAGAAACGGGAGGAAGCTATATTTGCTTTGTATTCCCGAATTCGTCAGTGTCCCATCATACACCTTCCTATAAAAGTAAACAGTCACAATATATACAGATTTACTCCCTTCGTAGTGGGTGACTGAAGTAATCAGACAACGCTATTGGTAATGATAGTGAACTTAGGTTTAGTATTTAATGAAAAACAATATATTATATAGCGGTAGTTATGAATAACTAGAAATAAAATCGTCCACATTTTAGATGAACAATCCAAAATACAATATATCTGCTATTAGATAGCTCTTTCAGACTGTTTAGAATGAAAATAAAGGCAAATGGAAATGCCTTTATCCCAATGATGGCCGTTATATAGTCATTAATATAACCCAGTTGATAATTCTGGACACAGATATGTCCACAGCCTGGTAGTTAATTATTTCATCTATTAGCGACAAAATCAATAATTTAATGAGAACTTCATTGAAATCACTTATTTCTGTGTCTTGTTGATGGTTCGTTTACAATTCTGACCTCATGAAACTAGCAAGCTTCCTCTGGGGGAAGTTTGATGATTTTTCAAGAAATCTTGAAATTTCTTGCCGTCAAAAATGCGACATGATTAAGAGAATTAGTTGAAGACAACGATACTCCAACAGTTCTTCATAAATAATTGTATCAAGTAAATATGAAGCACACCCGCAAAACAACATCATAACGTAAACACTGTGTCATCGACGGGTAACAGAGGCCAGTTATATGGCTGCTAAACGTAATGGTTACAATGGCAATTCCAGAGAGAGCGCTGGCACGCGTGGGAAAACATGTTCCCCTTGCGTGTGCGTGTGTTTTTACACTCCGCAGGATCAGGTCCATTGCAAGGGAGTGACTGAGTAGAGGGATGACAGCTGATTAGGTTTATAACAGAAATGCATCTCCTGCTGACGGCATTCATTTTTTACACCTATTCGCCATGCCTTATTATTGATTATGTGGAAACGCAGGAAAGAGACAGGCAAATAGTATTGCCAGACAAACAATTTCATTGAATAGCAATTTACATTAAATAATGTTTGTTTTCTTTAGATCCTTACACCTACATCGTGGTTTGCCTTATCACAAAAAGCAGTTTTAACATCTAAGGCGAAGAGGACAGAACGAAATGTGATGAAACCACGGGCCCGCGGGCGGTTCTATATTTTGTTGCCTCCCTCCCCTCCCTTGGTGGGGGGGGGTAATCTAAAATATTTGGAATCATTTGGGGTAATGGAGAAGAAACTGGAGTCGAAATCTTAACATACCTATACATGTATATTCATATAGATGTATACTCATACCATCTATACCAAAACATTTCTTCTATATTTTATTTGGTGATGATATACCTGCTTAAGTCTAGTGTTTCGTCACATGCTGTAGGCCTAAATGATTTTTTCTAAATTGACACTGGTATTTCGGATGCATTCTAAAAGAATCACTATTTAACGGCTTATTCTGCAATGATTTACGCCAGTTCTGGTACACCGTTTTCCTGCACGAGATTTCCTAAATGTTCTCATGATGGGGAAATGAATGGGCGTTGTCTGCAGAGGGTGTCATTCCTTTCTGAGTGACTGCACCTCGCCGGCACAACCCTCACCGCCCGCGCGCATCTGGTTTGTTCTCACTTCCGAAGTTTACGCTAAACGTGGAAACTGCAATTTTGGAATGGTACATCTCATGCCCGATACCGTCTACCACTTCTAGGCTTTAAAACTGCTATTCTAAATTAGGGACAATAAAAGCAGATCATGTTTAAGGGTGACACGATCATGTAGCATAAAAGTAACGGTATCTACATTTATCATTCATATCTCTCTCTGGCATGAAATATCTATAATATGTTATTTTTCAAGATCATCTACAAGACGTTTTTAGGCTCCTCTTCGCACACTAATTCTTTGTTTCATAATCGATTTCTCTGCGATTGAATATCGAGCTTCTCTGTATTCATGACACTGCCTTTGCGAAGCCTGGACAAGGCGTGCCAGGGTCCGTGGCCCGCACGGGCTCGACCTACCAGGGTTCCGGAGAGGAATCGCGACACGGTGATGGAGGTGGCGAGGACCCACGCCATGTAGCCCAGGATCACGCATCCGACGATCTGAAATGAAACACAAATTAGAAACATGTATCACACGGAGACTTGAAAAATGTTGCCTTTTACACAAAACAAACGTAGAAACGCTGTCTAGAAAATTATTTGGGAAAAAATCGTAGTAGTTTACTCAGGAAAAGTGAAAGTAAGACCACGGCGTGCCTGGTCGGTCGTGAAATTGGGGAAGGAACCTGCGCCGCGCGCACCCCGTCAGCCACACATTATCAGACCTTTAAGAACAACGAATTTATAATACAATGACCCCAACTTCTTCGATGCCCATGACTGCCTTCTTGAGATTTCATACCAATTTACTGATTTAAAAAAATACTCATGTTTGCAAAACGACTAATTGTCTGTCAGGATGAAACTTTCATTGCTCTAGAATAGCTCACTAACGTGTATTTGGACTGTCAGCATCGCTTTCATATGACTTCCTCTGAAGTCACGCATATCTCTGGCACTCAGGCACACGCCCTGCCAGTCCAGGCGCGGCACAGTAGTCCGGCAGGCGGCGTCGTTCGATGGATCCCGTATCAGGAAAATCGGCGCTGAACCAAACGGCAAAATAAAATTACCAATGTCCTTTCAAGTGGACGTGACATTTTATCGTATTAATACATAGTAAATATATAACAAAAAGGTCCTTAGTTAAAACAACAAGGAATAACTGCCATGCCTTCTTGTTCAAATCTAGGCTAATCAGAAAAAAAATCACAACTGCACTGACGCACGAAGATCCCAGCAAAGATTTTTTTCAAGGCATATGGACTGCGCTCTTGAAGCCAATGTATCCCTAGATTCCAAGGGATATATTGTGTTACCGCTGGATATTTTGGTATCCATTAAGGATTATGTTCATTTATGGGTATGATTGATAGTAATTCCGTTGTAAAAGGCGATGCATTTCATAGCCTTATCAGTTATTAACAGTTCACACGATATTAGGCGCTTAACTCTTGAATTCTCCGATATATTTTCTGGACATCTAAATATCTGAATAACATTCCATTTTCATTTCCTACCACTTTCAGAAATAAAGAATAAATCTAGTTACAAAATCGTATTGTTAATTCACTCCCACACTTCTATTAAAATAATGATAAGAAGAAAAAACACGTCACCTTAACGTTCTATACTTTCCAGCCAAGCGAGTGCATTGGTCCGGGAAGTCATCTTAAAATGTACCGCTAAAAGTTTAAGCAGTCTTCACTTTCAAAACCTCAGACATGTTTGGTTGACGAGATAGTGACAATTGCAACTTAAAGGGAAAGTACGAAAGTACAACAACGCGTGTCTAAAATAAATGAAAATATACTGAAAAAATTGCTCATAATATGCGCGGTTAAACACAATTATCAATAAAGAGTTCGCTTTCACGGTAAGTTGAAACACAGATGGCGTAAAACAGGTATACATAATTATATATTTTTGGCAAATTCATCAAAATAAAAGATATATGCTAATGATAAAAATCAAAACTATGTCAAGCAGGCAGTCATTATCATAAAAACGCGTGAATAAACCTGCAGGTTGTTGAGACGCAGTCCTCCCTTCGAGTGGTGCTGTCAAGTCACCAAAGAGAAACAAAGGCGGCCAGCGGTCAATCGCCGACAAAGGACAAAGAACGAGGAAGACGAGCCATCGCCGCCGCCGCCCAACAGCTGGCAGTTCGAGGAACACCCGAATGAGCCATTCACGCTCTGCGGTCGAGGCCGCTCGGGAAACAAGACTCCCCTTGCTACTTTCCCTGGCAGATGGCGCCGGGGACCGTCCGGGACCTATAGTGAAATTCCTGATTAATGAAGCCGGTAGATAGGGTAGATTAGAGGGGGGGGGGTGACTCGCTGCCTGCCTGCGCCCGGCTGGGGCGCACATGGCGCAACTCCTACGCCGGCTTTCTTCATTAGTGTTTTAGGAAATGCTTTTTGTAATGTAAGCCTTTTGCTTTTTGGTCTTAAGATCGGTTCTTCGAGCTCTCAAACCAAAGTATATGAACTAGTATGAAATGATTACTTGTACACATTTGATATTAAAATGAAATGGCGAATTATAGGATGTGTTTTCCAGTGTTCACTAGTATGTGTACAGAAGTAATGAAGACAATTTTCGTAGGGAACAAGTAAATTCATGTGTTGGGCCAAAAGTGAATAGTCACGTTCGTCTAATAAGACATTTCCCTCTGCGGCCTCATGCTCATGACTGCTTTCATCGAAGAATTTACACGTAGAAATGCTCCATCAAAATGAGGATGAACGTGGACCCCCACTCTACGCCCCTTGGCTTCGGCTCAGCGTTTCCACTTTATATAAGTGCACAATAACGGTAATTTCTAAGCATCGACTAGCAATTTCCCTGCAGTGCATGTAGCCTCTCTAATGCACTGGTCAATTTGTTTTTCTCCGATTTGCCTTCCATCCATAGAGGTCTTAAATGCGAATGTCATTATCAGAGATAAATAAAAATTAAATGAATACAGACCATCCTATTCCTCGCGTCTTTGACT